GGATACTTCTTTTGTAGAATTCCTAATTGTCATCTAATTATCTAGATTTTTTTACACTTGAACTTCTAATACTAGCATATTTATTGCAGATTATTTTCTTAGGAGCCAGGTTGACCTCAGCAGGGCTGGATAAAGGCAGTCTTTTTCTCTCCTTTTTTTCCCTGCTTCCCTTTTTCATCTCCTATTCTGTGCTCCCTTCTTCTCTGTCTGAATTTTGTTTATCTGAACATATTAAGGACACAGGATAACCCATTGCAACAATGGTACTCACATGACACATGTTGGAAATGAACTTTACAACTTTGGGGAGGGGAGGAATAAAGGAGGTAGGAGAGGGAAGGGATAGTAGGAGAAAAACAAAGGAGGGGATGACAATGTACTCATTACCTTACTGATGTAACTGTGACCTCTCTGTATGGCATCTTTACAAGAAAAGTAGGAGGAGGCAAATAATTCCCTGTCGTTACTATTCAATGATAGGACTATGGAACATATTTCAGTTTTCAGATAATTAGTGAATATAAACAGCAAGGAAAAACATTATTCTCTACTATACTTCTCAGATATTGTTCATCTATTCTTTTAAATATCTGCTGCATATATTTATACATACTTTATAATGTATATTAGCTACATTAGTTTTACATTTATATCTTGCTCATTTTTCTTTTTTTTTTTGGGGTCCGGTCGTGGGGCCTGAACTCTGGGTCTGGGCACTGTCCCTCAGCTCTTCAGCTCAAGGCTAGTGCTCTACCACTTGAGCCACAGTGCCACTTCTGGCTTTTTTCTTTTTGCTTATGTGGTGCTGAGGAATCGAACCCAGGGCCTCATGCATGCAAGGCAAGCGCTCTACCACTGAGCCACCTTCCCAGCCCCTCTTGCTCATTTTTTTTTTTTACAGATCAAGGAGCATCTAAAGAGTATTCGCTTTAGTTTCAACTAAATTTTATATTTGTTTGTCTCGTATTTTTTTTCTTTTCCTTTTCCTTTTTCTTCTTTTTTGGTCCTTCATGCGGCTTGAACTCTGGGCCTGGTTGCTGTCCCTGAGCTCTTCAGCTCAACGTGAGCACTCTACCACTTGAGCACAACGCCACTTCCAGTTTACTAGTGGTTTATTGGAGATAAGAGTCTCACAGCCTTTCCTGCCTGGGCTGGCTTTGAATCGCAATCCTCATATCTCAGCCTCCCGAGTAGCTAGGATTACAGGCATGAGCCACTGGCGCCCAGCTTTTTTTTTCTTTTTAATCTCACTTTTTTTTTTCTGGTCAGTTGTGGGGTTTGAACTCTGGGCCTGGGCACTGTCCCTCAGCTCTTCAGCTGAAGGCTAGTGATCTACCACTTGCGCCACAGTGCTACTTCCCATTTTCTAGTGGTTTATACAGACAAGGAAAGTGAAAATAAAAAGAGGAGAAAATAAGATAGTACAGGTGAAAAAAAAAAAACAAAAAATATATATATACATAATTTCTTTTTCCGGTCCTGGGGCTTGAACTCAGGACCTGGTTGCTATCTAGGAGCTTCTTTTGCTCAAGACAAGTGCTCTCCCATTTGAGCCACAGCACCACTTCTGGCTTTTGTGAGTAGTTTATTGGAAATAAGAATCCCGTGGACTTTCCTGCTTGGGCTGGCTTTGAACTGCAATCCTTAAATCTTAGCCTCCTGAGTTGCTAGAATTATAGGCATGGCCACCAAGGCCCAGCTCAGAAAATTATATTTATATCTTATAACTTCAATCTTCTTAGGGAAACAGTTGACTGCCAGAAGTGGTGATGTTCATAGGAATTGGGAATTAGAGCTTGAATTGAAAACTATTTAAAATTGTCCTTGCTATTATTATGGAGACGACTGTAGGATTCTGCAGGATTGCCAGACTGTTGAAGATGCAGGATGAATTTGTTGAGGGTCAAGTACTTGGTCATCTGGAACAGGCTGACTGTAGGTCATCTCTGATTAGGTAATAGTACAGTAGAGCCTTTCTGTATTCAGATATCTCTGAGAATAACACAAACACATTGGTGAAATTGCTTACTATAACTAGACACCAGAGAATGAATCTCACATTCTTTGCACGTACATAACTATTCACTACAAAATAATGAATTTGGTTTTCAGAATCTCCTCTTATAGTAAGAATATGATAGTTTTTCTCACCTTGAAGCAATCACTTATGAGGAATATAGTTGGGTATATTAAGTTCTCTGGTATTTCTACCAACATTATTTGAGTATATATCCTATTTTTCCTTTTCTTTCCAGTACTGAGGATCAAACCCAGGGCAATGTGCTTGCTAGGCAGGTACTCTAGCAATTGAGTTATGCTCCTAGCCTAAAATTAGTAGGTGCTTTTCTAAATAACCAGACACTAGAGGCATTAGAGGAAGGCAAAGGAGGTTGATAAAATTTGAAAGTAGCTGAAATATTACATAACTTAAAAATTGGTTTGGGGCAGGGCATTAAGAAAATTGTTGTGGTTTTCTTCCTGAATTTTCACAGAGAATTGTTCATTAAACTTGTCCTGTAGTTCAATTCTGTGTAGCAGAAATACAAAACAACAACAACAAAAACATTAGCTGACAAGTTTATATGATGTAGTTAACTTTGACAAGTATTTGTTTCAGGGGTAAAATTGAAAGTAGAAAACCTGTCAAGTTAAAAAAATTTGCTATTACAACTTTTTACAAACTTTTCTTGAACCATGAGTATAAGACTTGAGAAAATGGTGAGATCGTTTTCTTTCCTTCAGTCTAAATATCACTTTGATTTCTGTGACAACTGAAAACAGGAATTGTCTCTTTTAGGCGAAGTGCTTGTCCCCAGCCACAGGTGTGATTTTTACTGGTTTGCCAGTCAAATTGGAATAAAATGAAGCTTTAGGTTAGAAAAGGGTCTTTAGAATTCCCTTACCGTTTTACATAGGATCCTGCTACCATGCTCATTTCATAATGCCTCTGATGATTCAATCTCAGTTCATATTTAAGGCTACTTTGTCAAGGACATATATACCACTCAGCAGAGCCCTGAATATCTTCTGAATTACCTGAATTCAGATTAAAAGTACCCTCAATTTTCTCTAAGGAAGCAGTCTGTTTTACTTATGTCACTTAAGGGTCTATTTTGGTATATAATATATATGTATATATGTACATATATGTGTGTATATACATACACACACACACACATTTCTTTTTGTGCTGGTCCTGGGACTTGAAGTCACATTGCTGTCTCTGAGCTTTCTTGCTGAAGGCTAGCATTCTATCTCTTAAGCCATAGCTCCACTTCCAGCTTTCTTGGTGGTTAATTGAGATCATTTCATGCACGAACCTTTATCCTCAGATATGAGCGTCCAGAGTAGCTAGGATTACAGGTGTGAGCCAACTGTGCCCAGTTCTGGGAATATATTTAAAACAAGAGAAGTCTATTGCAAAGGAGAACTAATGTGTGTCCATAGATATTTAATCTCTTGTAACTGAAAATAGTGCTTAGCTAGTTTTACCTTTAAAAAAAAATTTCATAAACCAGGCACCTGTGGCTCACACCTGTAATCCTAGCTATTCAGGAGGCTGAAATCTGAGGATCATGGTTCAAGCCAGTCTCTGTGAGACTCTGATCTCCAATAAACCACCGGAGAACCAGAAGTGACACTGTGGCTCAAGTGGTAGAGCATAACCTTTAGCTGAAGAGCTGAGGAACAGTGCCCAGGCCCAGAGTTCAAGTCCCATAACGGACCAAAAAAAAAAAAAAAGAAAAAAAGATCTCATAGGGTCTTCTATTACAATGAAAGTTATCCTTACTGTCACTGTGTGTATGAATCTATAATTCTGTTCTGTTTTTTTTTTGGTTCTGTTTTTTTTTCTTTTTAAAAAATAACTCCAAGAGGATTTAACACTTGGGAGATTTTTTTCCAAAGTATATGAATACTGTTAACAGTTGTAGTTATACACAATAAAGGATTCTGTGTGACCGTGGGTTTAATATATTCTAAAAGCCGCCACAATCACTTCTTCCTCCTCCTCTTCTTCCCACTCCTCCTCCCACTCTCCCACACCCCTGCCCCCCCCCACCTCCTCCTTTCCCTTTCTTCTCACTATAGGGATTTAATTCAGGGCCTTGTGCTTGCTAGGGAAATGATCTACCACTTAAGTTATGTACCTAAGCCTCTCTCCCCATTATTTATGTTTTAGTTTTTTTTTCCAGATAATAACTCACTTTAATTTTTTTTGCCTGGGATAATCTCCAATTGCAAACCCCTAACCTATGCTCCTGTGTAGCTGCAATTATGGATGTATGATACACCTTGTTTGTTGAGTTGGAGGGGGAGTTATCTTAATATCTTTTGCCCAGGCTAGTTTTGAACTCTGATCTTACCCATATCTCTTGCCTGAGTAGCTGGGATTGCAGTTATGAACTGTCCCCCCTAGCTAGACGTGTGTGTGTGTGTGTGTGTGTGTGTGTGTGTGTGTGTGTGTGTGTGTCTGTCTGTCTGTCTGTCTGTCTGTCTGTCTGTCTTGGTCCTGGGGCTTGAACTCAGGGTATAGGTACTATCTCTGAGCTTTTTGTGCTCAAGGCTAGCACTCTGTCACTTGAGCCATAGCTCTACTTCAGACTTTCTGGTGGTTTACTGGAGATAATAGTCTCATGGACTTTCCTGCCTGGACTGACTTGAAACCATGATCCTCAGATCTCAGCCTCCTGAGTAGCTAGGATTAGAAGTGTGAGCCATCAGTGCCTAGCAGCTAGAGAAAATTTTTAAACATATTTTTGAGGCCCACTCCCATATTTTTGTTTCAGTAACTGGCTTGAAGCCTGAGTCTGCACTTAGCAAGTTCTAAGATTATTCTAATATTGGTGATCCTTAAACCATTCTTTGAGAATCTCTACAATACAATATTGATCCCAGAAGTCTGAGACAAAGCTAAATCTAACTGTACTGAGTAGTTTACAGTTTAGAGATGGGTATGAACAGTGATGATTTGATTCAGTATTTTCTTTTTTCCTTCATAGATTGGAGCATATGATCAACAAATATGGGAAAAATCTGTTGAACAAAGAGAAATCAAGGTAACAAGTTTAATTTTGTTAATTTTGAAATGTAATTTTATGAACTATTAGTCACATTTAATAATCTATACACTTCTTTTGTGTATGTGATAGGGCTTTTGAATACAGGGCCTTGAGCTCACTCAAGTTCTTTGCTCACAGCTGATGCTTTGCTACTTGAGGCATGCCTCTAGTCCAGCATTTTGCTGGTTAATTGGAGATGAAGTCTCACAGACTTTTCTGCCCAGGCTGGCTTCAAACAGAGGTTTTCCCAGTCTTAACCTCTTGAATTCCTAGGATTGTAGGCATAAACCACCAACGCTCGAGCTTTTCCATGAACTTTAAATGTGTAACTTAGTAAAATTTTTTAACTGAAGAGATAAACTGTTTTATGATAGCATAGTTATATGTCTTCTATGGTTATCTTTTCATTTGTAGCATGTTTCTGTCCTCTTAAATTTAATTTCTAATGATTATTTCTGTCAGCTTTTTTCCCCTTTCACTTGTCACCTTATACTTCTAGTTTGCTTTTCCTCTCTTTTGATGCTGTCATTGTTCTGTACAGTTTATTAAACTGGTAAGTATCTCAGGCATTTTCCCATCGGAGTGTTTCTGCAAGTGCTGCTCTGCTTAATTGAAATCTGCTGTTTGGTGCTACTAACAGAATGACCTGGACGCAAAAAGAGTTGCTGGAAAGTTTGTCATTTTTAAAAAGAATTTAGAAAAGTAAAGCATTAATTTAAATGTTTGTGAAAATTTTTTCTTGGACATATAATTACATATTTCATGCTGATATTTTCATAGGCTATCTTGCTAGCATGAAAACTGTTTTTAAACTTAATCTATTGTTTCTCAGCACTCTTGTAATAATAAGATTTTTGTCTTTTTTACTTGCATAAATACTAATCAGTATGTTCCTGCACGAGATAAATTTAATCTGGGCCCAGAGATTGTTATAGTTATTACTTAGCATTTTCTATTTTATATAGAAAAGTTTAAATAAAATTGAACACAAATATAGTTCTATAAAAATTTGTTCAAAAGGGCAAAATATAACACAGGCCAAAATCCTTTGATACTATCTTTAAACTAACTTTTTGAAGAATCAATACATATAATAAAATTATAGTGTGTACCAAGAGACAAATGAAGAATTGCTCAACATCTTTGGCCATAAGGGAAATGCAAATCAAAACAACACTGAGGTTCCATCTCACCCCAGTTAGAATAGCCTCAGTAAAAATACAAACAATAAATTCTGGATGAGAGCACAAGGGAACCCTAATAGACTATTGGTAGGATTGCAAACTCGTTCAGCAACTCTGGAAAGCAGTATGGAGATTCTTCAACAAACTATACATACAACTACTCTATGATGCAACAATTCCACTCCTGATCATTTATGCCAAAGATTACAAACCATGATACATTAAAGCACCAGCACAACCATGCTCATTGCAGCATTATTCACCATAGTCAAGGTATGAAATCAACCCCAATACCAGTGTATGAATGGGTCAAGAAAATGTGGAGTATATGTGTGTATGTGTATGTGTGAGTATGTGTGTTTGCACACAATGAAATTTTACTCATTCATTACACTGAATGATATTGCATTATCTGCAAAGAAATGGAAGGACCTGGAAAAAATTACGTTAAGTAAAGCAAGTGAGACCTAGAGAGACAGACAAAGGTTACATGTTTTCCCTAATATATAGACACTAGAATTGGTTTATAAACACATAAGTAACTAACTAGCTTGGGTGGTATGCAAGTATACATAAATGTATTAACTGAAATATGGTAGATTTAGGGGAGAATTTCAGCAGTGTAATTCTTGAGCCACAGTGCCACTTCCAGCTTTTTTCTGCTTATGTGGTGCTGAGGAATCGAACCCAGAGCCTCATACATGCAAGTCAAGCACTCTACTACTGAGCCACCTTCCCAGCCTGACACTGAAGGATACTAAGCACAAAATTAAATTTGTGTGTATGTATTTGTTATTATTGGCAGTTCTGTGATTTAAACTCAAGGCTTCAAGCCTATTAGGCAGGCACTTTACCATTTGAACCAAGTTTCCAGGCCTTTTTGCTTTTTTGTTATTATTTTTAAGTAGATGTACAAAGAGGTTTTAATTCAACAAGTCAGTTTGTGAGTACAACACATCTTGATCAATGTTACCCCTTTCATCATCCCCAATCTCTCTCAACCCTGTGCATCCCCCGCAGTTTACCTCATTCCATTTTTACATGCATACTTTAATTTTATGACTGCATTCACCTATCCTTTCTCTGCTCTGATTTTTGTTTTTTGAGATAGGGTTTCGCTTTTTCCCTTAATAGCTTTGACTGCAATCCTTCTGTCTATGCTTCCCACCATAGCTGAATGATAGGCATGTTTCACCATACCACACTTTTTCTGTTGAGATGGTATTTCATGAACTTTTTTGTCTGGGCTGTCCTCCTCTATTACCCATGTCTTCATGCTCAGTTATTGATTGAAATGGGGTCTTGAAAACCTTTTGAATAGGCTGGCCTCAAACCATGATCTTCCTGAGTAGCTAGGACTACAGGCCTAAGCACCAATGGCTGGCTAAATTTATGTTTTACAATTTTATTTAGACAGTGCTGAATATAAAAGGAAATATACTAGAAGAAAGAAGATTACAATTCTGTTCTAGAAATCTAGAAATGTTATTTGGGAAGATGATTTAAGAGTTACCAATATATAAAACGTGTATAGATATAACAATTATATGTATGTGTATGTTATGTATTTATATTATGTATATATTATCATAGAGAAGTGAGTAAATTTTTGTTGAAAGGTGATTTAGAGGAGGACAGGATATTTGGGAAATACCACATTTAATGAGTAGCCAAATATGCAAAAAAAAGAAAAGAGAAGTAGAAATTTCAACCTACAAACACAGTTATTATCCTTAAATAGATGTATAAAGAGGTTTTAATTCAACATGTCAGAAAAAAGGTAGACTCATGAAGTTAAGAAGAGGGGAGTAGACAAATGAAGAGAAGTGGGGAGAAAATACAGTAAAGCAAATAAAGAGTAATGGAGAGGTCTATTAAGATGCCTTAAAACTTGTTATTCTCTTCAATGACTACAAAACCTTTAACAGAAAACAGTTATAAAGTATCCTGAGAAGTCATATTAACATCTGGCACATTTGAATCTTTTCATAAATTAATACTTTAAAATTTTTCTTTTTTTCTTCTCTTTTTTTTGGTTGGTTGTGGGCCTTGAACTCTGGGCCTGGGCGCTGTCCCTCAGCTCTTCAGCTCAAGGCGAGTGCTCTACCACTTGAGCCACAGCACCACTTCCGAAAATTTTTCATTTTTAAAAATCGTCTTTCTCTTTCTTTTTCTCCTTCAGTGATAGCTATTGAATTCTGAGCCTCAGGCACACTAGAAAAATACTCTATGCTAGCCTTAGCAAAAGAAGCCCAGAGACAGTGCCCAGGCCCTGAGTTCAAGCCCCAGGACTGGCCCCCCCAAAAAATACTCTGCCTCTGAACCATACCTCCATCAATTTTTATTTTGTTTGTTCAGTTAAACTTTGTGAAAGTCCATAATTATAGTTATTTTGGAAGCTATACTACTTTTATACAAATAGAGTTTAACCTAAATTAAAAAATTTCAAACTTACAATGTGTATACTTAATTACATTCATGATATATTAACCCTCATACTTAATGTTAATATCTTTCATTTCTGTGATAAAATTATTGCTTGATTTATCAGTGAACATTGTCAAGTTTGGTTTTTACAAACTCTTTGTGTTTTTTTTGTAATTTATTATTGTGATTAAATGATTACATAAATTTCACAAATTTCACAGTATTGTGGGATAGTTATACTTAGTTGAAGTCACAGATTCTAACCTTCATGGGACAAATTGTCGTTATCATGGTCTATAAAGTTTATGAGTTCTATGAGCTTTGACAATACAGTTATTTCTTCCACCTCAGGGTATATGTACATTTCTTTCCTTTTGCTTAGTGTCAGCTGTTGCCTCTTTCCCTCATTCCCTCCCTCCTATTATTGTCAGTGAGTTGCTTAGTTTGTTTTGATCAGTGACCAGTGCAGCTGATGGGACCTGCTGTTACATGTTTTCCCATTTCCCTCTGTTTCTATGTCCTCCTTCTAGTTTCCCTCCAGTGTATACACACACACACTATATATATATATATATATATATATATATATATATATGTGTGTGTGGTGTGGTCATCAGCATGGGGTCATTTAGTAATGATTCATGGAGTTCCTTTGTTTCTCGAATCTTGTTTACTTTGTCATATCTCCTTACGTTTTGGATTTAACATACACTTGTCAAGGAGACCATGTGTTTGTATCTTTGCTCTTGGCTTACCTCACTCAACATGATTTCTTCTAGTTCCATCCATTTCCCTGTGAATGCCATTATTTTGTCCTTTCTAACGGATGCATAATATTCCATTGTATATAGGTACCACAATTTTTAGATCCATTCATCTGTGGTGGGGCATCTGGGTTGTTTCCATATCCTAGCTCTTGTAAACAGTGTTGTATTAAACATGGAGGTGCATGTGTCCTTGTGTCCTGGTTCCTGTTTTTCAGGATAGATACTTAAGAGTGGTATGGCTGGATTGTAGGGGAGGTCTATATTTAGCTTTTTGAGGACCTTCCAGACTGCTTTCCAAAGTGGTTGTATAAATGTACATTCCCACCAGCAGTGTAATAGGGTTCCTCTTTCTCCGCATCCCCTCCAGCATTTATCATTGGCTGATGTGGGCCATTCTGACTAGGGTAAAGTGATGTCTCAGGGTTGTTTTTATTTGCATTTCCTTTACAACCAGGGATGATGAACATTTCCTCATGTGTTTCTTTGCCATTTTTATCTCTTCTTCTGAGAAATCCCTCTTTAGTTCCCTTGCCCATTTAGTAATTGATTTGTTGGGTTTGGGAGGGATGAGTTTCTTGAGTTCCCTGTATATACTGGATATTAGTCCCTTGTCTGATAT